GATTCCCGACCGTCTGATCCTACAAAGGTATTGCGTGGAAAATCAAAACTGCGAGTCTATAAATTGAAGGAAACGTCGATGCACCCTATGTTAAGCTTTCCGTGAATAAAATACCGATCGAAAATGTCAGCGTCGCTCGCTGAGATTGGAACGGTGTTCTTATTCGCGGAAGAAATTGGAATACCGTGGCCTGGGATTTTGAGGTCGGAAATGGGGCTCAGCTTGGAAATTTTGCGAAAATATTTTCCTGCCGATTCTCCTAAATACAAATCTTTTTAATTGGTTCATTAGATACTATTTAGGTTTGTTAGGAGAGGAAAAATTATAATGACGAGCAGATTATGGCGAAAATGTGACAAAAGAAGAATTGAATTCTTTTTTTTAAGACCAATAGAGAGAAATTCTGTATAATATTTTCACTTACTTTTTTATTTAACGCTGAATTAGAACAGTGAATAGTCGAAGCTGACATACATAATCGTTAAAAAACATTGTAAGGCAAAGGGTTAACGAGAGAAGTAAGCAAATAACAATAAAAGGAGAAGAAGTGATTTTCAAAATTTCATTTATCTTCCTGTTTTCTGTTTCGTTCCGTACTCTGTTAAAATACATTTCGCCTGAAATTCGTGAAACGCGGCCGCAAAAGGGTTAAACGGATAGGTACACTGAAATTTGGTACATTAATATCCTCGTGGAATATATTTACCCGAAAACCACGAAACGCTATAGCGCATTAAAACTGTCGCATAAACGTGCCACGCTTCAAAAAGCAATATTACCGCTCCCAATTTAAATTAATATAATTGGAGATTCGCGGGGACATTCGAAACATTTATCGACGATATATTTAATGGAGGACAATGCGCATCGGGTCGCCGTTTAATACGTTTAATGCACTCATCTCGCTGGAATCCCGATAACTTTTAATCTCATTAGCTGAACGCGTCTCCGCGAATACGTCATATTAATGCCCCCGTGGACGAGTTCCAACTGATGAATTATTAGTGCTCTGAAATCAGGGGATTCTGGTCTCTTTACGGAGATAACGTACGACGAGAAATTCTCATTCTTTGTTTCGCGTTCTCCTTTCGCTCGTACCCTATGACTGATTTTAAATAGAAAGCTGAGCCGCGTGAACGAAAACATCACATTTCATATTAATGTCGCATTGTTTCTCTATTTAAAATGCAACTGCAATTCTTTCCCTTGGAACGTCTTCTTTCTTGCCTTTCGAACAGTTTGTCGTTTCGCTTTTATCCGCTTCCTTCGATTTGAAGGAGAAAGGATTAGTGCGAGTTGGAATTTTCTTTCTGAGTTTGAGTGAATTTAAATGGCAATTTTTGTGGAAAAAAGGGACAACTGAATTTTTGACACTCGTATAAAATATGAAACTTCCAAGTTAGGTTTTCTTATGGATTCGTCTGTAAAATGATTTAAAGTGAAGA